TTGCCAATTCCTCCTCCAGGTGGATTGCGTTTAGTCAGAACTCTCCACTATGACCTGTCCATCTTGGGTGTCCCTGCATGGCATAGCCCATAGCTTCACTGAGTTACTCAAGCCCCTTCGCCACAACAAGGCAGCAATTCATGAAGGGGCACATTAGTGAAAGAAAAATTAGCTGCACTCTATAAAAGCGTGTATGAAGACACTCAGTGTGCCCGTTTGTAACCCTTGGAAATAAATTTATTACTGATTTGTGACAACAGAGTTCTATCAGGGTGTGGAGATAAAATTATTTTGCTTTCAATCATGCTTGAATGCTTTAGAGAGCAAGTGGCTTCAGTTCGGTTTGGAGCATCAGACTGATACCTTGATACAGCTGTTTTTGAAACAGACACCTCCCTTCTGTTAATTTTTCAAAGTTTCATAGGTTTTTACTGTTGACTATAATGGAAAATATGAATCAAATGAGACTTTCCATTTATTGACAGATTTGGATAAAGTGTGAAGACTTACACATTTTGAAGAATTAATCTGGCCAAACTTTATATGATTGCAAGCTAAAATAGGGATTAAGTGTTTAGAGCTAAAAACTAAAAGAGGGATTGAGTGTTTATCAGGGGTTGGTCAAGAGCAGCCCAAGGGCTCCATGCAGCCACCAGCCAAACATGGCCCCCAACGCCTTTATGGCTTTCAGCCCTCTCACACACAGCGTTTTAAAAATGGCTTAAGAACCCCTTTGAGCCTTTTAGGGGATGCGGGACACATTTTTGCCATGTTTTTCCCCATAGCATTCCTGACTTCCACACTCCTCAAATTGTAATTGTAAAAAAAAAATAGAAGAAGTAGAAGAAGAGGAAGAAGAAAAATTAATTTATGTTTATTTTATTGACATCTACCCCACCCATCTAAATCAAAGGTCTACTCTGGGCGGGCGTAGAAGTCCAATGAAATATAAATAAATAAATTCTCCTCCTCCTCCTCCTTTTGTGGGAAGCTACCACGAAGAAACAGCCAGAGGACATTTTTTATTTAATTTTTTTAAAAAGTCTTTTGTGGGTGGGGGGGGGTCAGGGTGCAGGAGCAGTTGTGGCCCTCCAAGATGCTGGAGTGGGTGAGTCTAGCTCACGGACCTCTGGAGGTTGCTCATGCCTACTTTTTATCTTGGGGTATTTTTGTTCTTTGAGGGATGTCTCATCTTCCTTGTGTTCTTCGTTTTTAATTTTATTTATTTATTTGCTTAATTTTGGTGGGAGGAGAGGAATGCCTTTTGCCTGAACATGACATATGAAGTATTGATCAGTTTCCTGCCAAATTCCAGGAGAATCACTGCAGATTCAAACTGCAAATAAAAACAGAGTACATGGGAACAACTGTCGATAAGTCAATTTGGCTGCCTTCCTAAAACCAGTGTTTGGAACTAAAAACCAGAGGGCCCTGATAAGAGCTGGATGGAAGCTAATGCTGCTAATCATAAGCCTCCCACGCAGCCACACCTCTGCCCAGTCTAATGTTTTATTTTTAGGAGAGCTTGCCTGTAGATGGTTCAAAAACTGATTTAAATTTTATACACAATTGAAACTAACCACTCTCCACTGCGTGCATTAAGTGGGGAGAAAGTCCTGTTTGCATCAATCCACTTTGGACAACAGCCAGTTTGCTTTGGAGGTAATTCATCTCAAGTAGCCCATGTAGGTTTGGTATTTGTGTTTTGCCCAGAATGCATCCATGCTCCAAGCCTTATGCTTTTGTCTGATTCCATATACAGTGGTGCCTTGCACAGCGAGATTAATCCGTTCTGGATTAACCCTCGCTGTGTGAAAGCATCGTTGAACGGGGCAGGAAAAGCCATTGGAACACATTAAACATGGTTTAATGCGTTCCAATTGGGCCGAATACTCACCATTCAGCGATGCTTCCCTATGGCCGGCAGCCATTTTCACGCCCTCCCCTCGCTTTACGAGGGCGCGAAAACACTGCGTGCGGCCATTTTGGGGCTTCCGGCGGCCATTTTGTAGCCACCAAACAGCTGATCGGTGGGTCGCAAAGCGAAGGTCGGTAAGCGAACCGCTTCAGGACCTTCGCTCTGCGATTTTTGCCCTATGCAAGCACCGTTTTGCGATCGCATTTGCGATCGCAAAACCGGCCTCGTAGAGCGAATTCATCGCTCTATGAGGCGCCCGTTGTGCGAGGCACCACTGTAATTTGGGATGCTTACTATTCTGTAAAGTTTGCTCAATATTATCAAATAGTTCAACCTAATTTTATTTCATAAAAATATACTTTTTATAATGATTTTGATTATATACTTGCATGCTATGCTAGTATCCATAAGGTTGAACAGCAGTTTAAAATTATTTAAATGGATATATAAGAAATAATTAAGTATTTTAGTCATTTTCTGACACTTCTGTAGTTTCCTCTTGGAAACAAACCCCCTAAATATTGCAATATATTTTGAGGCTTTTTGAGACATTAAGAATAACAGCTAATTTAGGCTACTAATTCTGAATGCTAGATTGTTCTACAAAATATAACTAGTATGCCAACTTCCCAGTTCTCATATATTAAATGGAAAAATAAATACAGTAATTTTGTATTCCCAGCTAATAATACTAGTCCTGTCCTACTTAGTTGCAGATATCATCTGTACTGCGGTTACCCTCAATTTTATTGTACAAATCAATTTGTCTCCACTGATGGAAGATAATTGCAAAGTAAACAAATTACCCATGCTCCACTGAATTTCATTCACTAAGAGATGAGAAGATTTTCTTCTGCTTCTGCAAAACGATGATTGATAGCAAAGAGCTGCAAAGTTTTCCCCAGGTCATTGGCTCTTTGTATTTGCCATTATAAAGGTACTCTCTATCCACTCCCTTCCCACTCCCTGTGTGTTTATTAGAGAGGGGGAGCGGAGAAAGAATTCCGTAATATAATAACTTCTTGATTCAATCCCAAATGTTTCCATGTTGGAATTCAGGAAACTATTTATATGGTTTTTATATTTTTATTTTGAAAAGTTTGATAGATGCAAAGAAAGTTTTGAAATGAACTTGGTAGTTTCCCACAGTTTGCAAATTTGAACATAAGTGGTTTTGCGCTGGAAGGCAGAGCCCAGATGGGAACATGCAAAGTTAAGTCCCTGGGCTTTCCGAGAAGTATAAATCTAATTAAGTGCATGCAAGCTCTCTAGTTTGTCTGGATTTTTAAAAGCAAATATTTCCTTGGAAATAACGTCAGCATTTGGTAATGCCGTTACTTGCATGAACTGCTTGCTTAACACTAATATGATTTTTCTGTTCTTCTCTTCTTTGCCTCCAAATAATAATAATAATAATAAAAAATAAAAATCCTATGTTAATCTATTCAAGATGGGCAGCTGGCTGTGCCTGGGAGTGCTGGAGACAACTGTGGCGACCCCCTGCTTCTCATGGCCTTTTGGCTTTCCTGGGGTGCTTTTTTCCCTGCCACTTCGGAACCACATCTTGGGGCCACATGGACCTGCTCCCTCCCTTGTGGTTGACCTGTCTGCTTTCAGGCCAGAAAAAAACCCAGCCATATGTGTTCATTTCAGTTTAGCTGAAACCTGAAGAGATTCAAATGTTTTTGGTGGTTTTCTCAACTTAGAAATCAAGCTCTGAAGAGTGTGATACCATATTCAGTGATGTGTGGTGTTAATTTAGTATCTGGTTCTAGTTTTTTAGTATTTAGTTTGTATGGACTAAGCTATCTTTCCTCAAAATAGGATTCTCTGCTCCCCTAGGAATTTATGTGTGCAATATTTTTTTGTAGGATAATGGTTTTCCACATTTTGCAAACTTTATTTAAAACTTTAAATATTAAATGTCACCTTTGTATTTCAGCATTCATGGGTTTTTTAAGGTAATGCTACTCCAACCCATTTCTAAATCTCTTCTCCATTTCTCCACGAATGTTTCTGCATGTGATGTTTGCCTTTTCTTCCGTTCTGCATCAGGAAATATGGCCCAGTAAAAAAGTCCATTCATGCAGAAAGATTATGTCTTCCTATGAACAGAGGAAGTAGAACTTTCCACAAAAATAATGCAATGTGGGGGTTTTCTGTTCAGCATGCCATCCTACCAACCCTCGTTCATTTTCCCTACCCTCCCAATGGTAAGTCAGCTTTTCATGCCTAGTGAGCACACTATTAGCTTGTTTCGAATTTAGAGGCTGGGGAGGGATACAATCTCAACTATATTGTCCTTGGATTTCACTGATTTTGTTGTGCCATCTCAGAGGACATAATACAATGACTTTGTAGTGTGAAACAAATAATAGTCTAACCAGAAAGTGTCTACTTTGGGGGGCGGGGGGTGGGGAGATCTTTGTCTCTTCCTTTGTTCCCTTTTCAAGCCACTTCATTTCTTTCCCCCTTCCTCTACAGTGGCCAGATGCAATAAAGGTTAGGCCTCTCTTTCACTTATAAGTTGTATAAATCATGGATACCCCTGTTTTTATCAGGTGACCTGGGACCCTCTTTCTCCTCTCAGAGTCCACCACCTGCTCACCTGCTCTGTGAGCTACAGAAGAAGGATCAAACAGATCCCTCCATGTACTGCTGCTTTTATCAGTAGAGCTGGGCTCCTCCTTCCCCACATAGAGGCTGCCATAGAGGAAGTCTCCTCTTGGTCCTTTTTATCAAAGACTTTATGTAATCTGTTTTCCATGTCACCTGCCTACTCAAAGAAGCATGTCACATCAAAGACTTGGCACCTAAAATTTCTCATTTGTCTTTCCATTTTCTGTCTCCTTTCATGTTGCATCTTTTTAACACTGTAAATCTGAAAATAATGACCATTATTACTTTAACTAATTTGTTAAATACTTGGGAACTATTACAACCAAAGATGGAGTTTTAGAAGAGGTAACTATGTTTTTCTGGCATGTCGGACAAAAACAAAGAAGACAGAAATGTTTTGCACCTTAATTTAATAATAATAATAATAAATCAAAGTTCTGCAACATTACTTTCATCTTTCTGGCCATGTCTGGGTTTGTACTTTTTTGGTGCAGGTAGGATGGCTCTTTTTGGTTCATCTCCAGCACATTTGATTGCTGGGAACAAATGAAACATCCTTCACTTTTGGTGTCTCAATAACATGAAGTGGCCTGATAAGAAGGCCACTTCAGGATATTGGCTAATTGAACACTTATTTTGATTCTTGGTGAAGGGACAGAGGAGTTTTCTAAAGACTCCAATTGGGCAGCAAAAATGCTCTGCATCATGTTTATAAAATAGACAAAACGTCCTCTCAGAAATGTGAGGAGACACTAGGGAAGATTTTTGTTTTCTTCTAACGGTCCAGATGAAACCTGTTCAATTTGGTTGTGAGCAGGCTCTCAATGATACATTTAAGAGAAAAGTGTATTTGGTATGTATGTTAGGTTGCAGGAAGGCTCTTGACCAGAGCTTTATGAGAAGTATACTAGGTATGTGTATTAGATATAATTGCTACCTCCTAATGCCCCAATTTAGCCTAACTCCAGCCCAGTCATGTAGACAAGCCCTCAGATGTACAAAGTACATCTTTATTTTTCTCATTTCCTTCATCTGTTACTGTAGAAGATGAATCAGAAAGACAAAACACTTTAGTGCTCTAGATCTTAATATGCTCTGTAGTATATTCCATTTTCCATACACAGACAACTTCTAGCTAATCATAAAAATAATTAAGTTAATTAATTGGATCGTACTGGCTGAGAGACCTCTTTTGAGGTAATCCTTGGAGATTCTTCCTTCCCTCATTTTTTTAACTATCCATAGGGCTCATTGTATTGGTGTATCTCTCCATCATCTTTGTCTTCATCTAAAATAGAAGTTGCTTCTTCTGGGTCCAGATTTAATAGTGCCAGTAAATTTTTTGTTTCTTTCTGAGAGGTGATAGTGAATGTTGCATTACCTTAATTGTGAACTTGAAAAGGTAGTCCCAGTTATGCTGAATACTAACACTACTCACCTATTCAACAAAGTATTTAAATGAATAAAAATACTAGAAATAATGTAAGTGGTATTAGCTCTAATTCAAATACTTCACTGACATTGTTGCTATGGTGGCAAGCTTTTCAATCATTACCAATATTTTTGCTCTGAAGACAGTGAGTAGCTGCCTGAGCTGCCTTATCTGTTGATTTCTTCTTTTTACTATACTCAGATTTGTACACATCAGTCTTCTTTTTTGAACTGACTTGCACACGCTTGGCCTTCTGTAGTTACAAAATAGGATTTCAGATCCTACAAAAATGATGTCTGTAGCATGCTCCTTCTCTTTTTCTCCTAGAATTCATATTTTCTTTAGTTGAGGGCCTAAACAACACTTTAGGGCATTGCTTCAGGCTAGTGTGATTGGTCCAGTCTGGAGCAGAGGGCTAGCACGCCAGCCTGGGTCAATGACAACCAACTTCTTCCCTCTCCTAGTCCCAACAAAGCTGGTATATATATTTCGCTTCAGTTCTTTAAAATACAGTTGATCTGTTCAAGCCATTGGTAACTTACATTTAAAGCTCTTATTTCACCATTCTTCTGGCATGAAAACCAGTCCAGTATTAAGAGATGGTTTTTAAATAAACCATTTCAAATAGGGAAATTAATGCACCAAGTCATGCAGAAGTAATGTTTATAGAAGAAAAGGCTTTTTCAGTTTTTCCTACAGGGTGTTTTCACTTGCAATAATGAATGTGTTAAGACATGTATGAAAATGCATTAAAGGATCAGAAGGATTTCTCTTCAGGTACTTTAGTTCCTAATAAATAATACATCTGATGATTAACAACACTGGCATGAGCGAAGCACAGCAGTGGGGAACAACAGCTACACAACATCTACATAGAACATACTGATTTTAATATACAATATTTCTCTATGCAGAGAAAAAAACACAACAAAGCAAAGCAAGACAGTAGTATATCAGCTGGAGACTCAGATTCAAATGCTTCTACTACTATTGAAAATAATAGTGGAACTGCAATTAATTGCTAGTGTGATCAGGTGAAGAGGGAAACATACAGCAGTTTACTGATACTTTAGCAGCCACAGTGGTTTTTGTTGATCTAGAGCACTGAAGTAAGACCACCACCAAGGTTTCTCTCGTGGCTGGACAGATCGCCTCCCATCTTCTTTTGGTTCTGGCTCAGCATGAGACTCAAAATGTTCCAGTGGGTCAAATCGCTCATTTGTTCTTCCGGTGGACTTATGAGCAAATTGAGCTGGCTTACCATTGAGGGGTCGCAAGACAAAGTCCACGCGTCCAGCCTTGCTCATCTTGGCAGGTAAAGTCACCTTCTTCAGGACCTTACTGTAGCCACGAGCCTGGGCACTGACTATGTATGTACCAGGAGGCAGGAGTCTCCAGTAGTCTCCATCAGCAGCTAAAGGAAACATATGTCTAATTCTTAATCTTTAGCCAGTATAAAACCATACAGCAACATATGGATATCAACGTAACTTTTGGAACTGGGGCACCCTGCAGTGGTTAGTGGGCTGAGGATTGCTAGGTCCAATCTTCACTCAGGGATAAAATTCACTGTGTGGCCTTGGACCAGCACCCTCTCTTAACCTAATCTTTCTCACAAAACCATTGGGAAGCAAAAGCAAGAGGGAAAAAAAATGTGCCCTGTCCTGTAAATAACACTTGTAGCAGACAAGTTTTAAAAAATGTTCATTTCTGTGATTATATACTCTGATAATAAATGCAGTCTGTTTGGATGTTCAGAGCAAGCCTCTTTGGCTCTTAGATCATAGATACACGTGATCAGAAAACAATTTCTTTTTTAAAGAAATGTGCTGAGGACTACATGAATCAAGTATTGAAAAAACACATTAGCCAAAGGAAATGTACATTTTAATTGTATGCGTGTGCTGCAAATGTTTTTCAGAAAACATGTATGCCTTGATACTCTACAGCAAGCAATCAAAACGAAATATGTTCAACAAAAGTATAAGTATTTTGATTCTTCTTTTAAAATACATAATTTTATATGATTGAAAATTCTGATCAGGGAGAATACGTTGGTTTCTAAATAAAGCAAGTTCCCAGATTATCCACTTATTATATATGAAAGCCAAATGGCACAGGAACTTTGGTGAAGGAAATATAAAATGATGTTCTGTCATTGTTTCCAAAGAGAATCAATGCACAATTTGAAACCATTCACATTTACGTTTTCTTGGCATTATTTAAACTCTTCAGTGGAACACCAAGTGCCACAGTGATATATCCCAGGCTTTGAGAGCTGTGTGGGTATATGTGGATTAAGTGTCTTCCTGTCGGTTCCTAAAAGCAGAAGGTCTTCCTCCCCATTGAACACCATGTGAGTTCAGAGACCAGGGCCTGACTGCCCCATGGGTGTAGAAAGAGCTCTCCAAAGAACTACACTAATCACTCTCCCTTTTAAGTTGCCAGAAACAATGTAAGGTGTCTATGAAGTAAATATGTAACCACTGTTTATCCTATTGTCTTTTTAATGGCATGATTATTTTATAGTTCTGTTACAATTATTTTTTTTAAATTTGATTTTTTTAAGATGACTTGATAGGATGTGTAGGGATATAAATGTGTCCCTCATTCAATAACATATGGTTTACCTCCTAAATGAAAATAATATAATGTAACATTCAGAGAATAAAAAGATCCAAGTTCAGTCCTTAATTTACTACACCAGTTTTGTTACCTGCAAGAATATCATGGCGGATGCCTTTGACTGAAATTCGGGCATTTTTAATTGGGTTTCCAAATTTATCAGATACAATTCCCTTTATTCCACGATGAGTCTGCAAAGAATAGGATAAATTTAAATAATAGGCAATACTTTTGTGTTCATATCTTTGTTTTGATGTTCGTATCTAACATCACTACCAAGATTGTACTGCTTCTGCAACAATGGTATTTTCTCAGTTGGTCCTTCCAATTGACAGATCCAGAGCATAACTGACTTTAATATGCAACATTTCTTTATGCAGAGAAATAAGACACAAAAGCTAAAAGTATGTCAATTGGTGACTCAGGTTCAGATGCTTCTACTACTTGTGTTGACCATCAAGATACTTCTAACTTATCTTAAATCAAGATGCTTCTAACTTGTAGTGACCATATGTTTCTAAGGCTGTGGCTGTTAGGGTATGGCCATAATTACTTCTGCTTCCCCTTTCCAAAGAGTACAAGCATCTATCTAGTTTCATCCCGGTACAGTCTGATTAGAGAACAAAATGGGAATGTTCATCTACTGTAAAAAGCCTGATAATGTGACCAGAAGGAGGTACTACAAAAGGAAGAAATGCCACCATAGTAACCTGCAAAGGGAGAAACATTGAGGGTTTTTAAAAAAAATTAAAAGACTATTTGTTTTTAAAAATTCAGTACAAGCTATTGGAAAAACAGTTCAGATTATCTTTAAGACAATATTATTATCAGTTTTGCCAAGAGAAATAGGAGGAAAAAACATCCCTAAGAGGTACACACAAACACCATGTGGTTGTATCTTCTTGCACGGAGCAGTACTGTTTGGATACCTTTAGAACACAAGAACAGTCATGTTGGATCACACCAGTTTAGTCTACATCTTGTGATGGCAAATTCCATTGTCCGATTACACACTTGGTGATGAAGTACTTCCAATTAATCTATTATCATTCAGCTTCAGCAGATGACCATGGGTTCTAGTGTAAAAAGAGAGGAGGAACCTCTTCTCTCAATCTATTTTCTCAGAACCATGCATAATTCTACACTCTTCTGCCCTGTTTTCCCCTCGTCATCCTTCTGATTTAAAAATCTGCAAACATTGTAAGCTTTTCTCACTGAAGAATTAGTCCAGACCCCTGATCATGTTGACCAATTTTTGTCTTTCAACACTTCTCCAGCTTCACAGTATCCTTTTCCAAGATATGCTGATCAGACTGTACAAAGTATCCCAGGCTTCCATTGTACTATCCACTACAGCCCATTTTTACACTGAAGGATACTACTGGATTTTAAATTTTAATTTGCGTATCTTTTGTGTTAAGAAGTCCTTCTGCAACATAGACTACTTGCTGTTGTTATGCACTGTCAAGACATATCAGACTTGTGATGACCTTAATATACTTTTTGAGTGGTGTGAGATGTTGTTCAAGGAGTAGCTTACCACTGCAACACCTCAGTGTGTTTCCATAACTGAAGAATGAGTCCTTTTGTTATGTGCCCTTAATTATCACCAGCACCATCATCTCAGAACTGCAGAGCTGAAAAGATCCTATGGATCATCAAGCCCGGCCCCCATCAACTCCCAACCTCTGGCTTTGTAGCTTAAACCACTGAGCTATATAGCAGTTCAAGTTGGAACTGTTCCATAGTGCACCTAATAGGGCTTTTAAAGTAAGTGAAATATTTAAGGAGCGAGTTTTACCAGTTAGACATCCCCAGAGAGCTTCCATGGCTCAGTGGGATTTGAACCCAGGCTTCCTGAGTCCTAGCCCTTCACTGTATTTGTTACACCATACTGAGTATTCCTGCCTTGAATCCTAGTACAATACTATACACTACACCATGCTGGCTTTAAGCACAGATTAGATTTTAAACCAAATGCATATTTGTAAATTTCCATTCAGTTTTCATGGATCTGCATTTGCAAAAAAACCTAAGACAACTTATATTTTGCTCATTGAGCAGCTGGCCAAATCTTTTATATCATCTGGTGCATGTCATAATGAACTGGGGATGGAAGGAGGAGAAGGGTTTGAATTAAACTCTGACAAGTTATTTGTATCTGCCAGAGGAGGAAAATACCCATTCCTCCCCATTAACCTTCAAAACAATTAGCTACAAGTGCTGTTACTTGTAACAATTTTTTCCAAACTATGGCAGGGAGTGTTTTAATACATGTACATGGCAGACTTCTTGCAATGGCAGTGAGGGGAAAAAATCTGATCAAATGTTTCAAATGAGGAGCTTCTTAGTCATTCAAGTGATTTCTTACTTTAATGTTCTGCTCCATAGTGTAGCCAGTAATCTTCCCTGCTGTTATTAGGTGAGGTCAATGTTCTGTTATAATGGCCTATGGCTAAATACAATAAGAGTGATTTGACTCAGTCATCTTTATAGGAGGCCTTTTCATCTCTAAGGCTTTCAGACCTTTTTGGATTCACTAAAGCAGATCAGCTGCAGTATAAAATCAACTTATGGGTCTGGTGTGTCCTTTTTACTGAAGGATTAAGCTACAAATACAACAGCATTGCTTAATAAAGAATAACGCTTAAAGCCCATGAAGAGTAACTGACATATCCTAACAACTTTAAATCATTATCATGAACAAGCACTTCAGAACAAGGCATGATAGTTATCTTCTAATGGCCTGGAAAGGGGTGTCTCCCAGTTTTCATGGTCACTTATTACTCTATAGCTGTTGGTTACTGGGAAAATTGGGTCAATTTGGTAAGGTTCTGCCAGGCTAGTAATGTAAACAAATTTTGTTTGAAAAATGTAAGCTGGAGCCTCACAAATACAGACTTAAGACAAGAGTGGGCAATCTGCAGTTGTCCAGAGGCCAACCATAACAATCTATGGACCTTGGGGGACAGCACTCGCTTCCATGACTCCTCATCCTCATTTTCTTTCTCAAAATTTACCCCTCCACTCCCAAAGCACCAATTGGTAAGCAAATGTTACTAAACTGAAATCTGGTGGGGCACAGAGCTTCTGAGCTGGGATCAAAACATGCTGAAATTGTCCTGTGCCTGATATGAGGGAAAGGGGGACTTTTAAAACCCTATCTTACAAACAAAAATAAAGATTCAGGAAGCTGGGATACAGTGTGTGGGCTTCTGGGAGTTGTGCATTGCCCGTCCTAATTTAAGAATAATTCTGAAAGATGATGTTGTTAAGGAGCTACACTCAATATGCCAGCAAGTTTGATAAACTCTGCAGTGGCCAGAGGATTGGAAAAGATCAGTCTACATTTGGTTTCAGAGCTCCATGCTCAACAGATACACAAGGAGCATGGGGCTGGCCCAGCAATGTGATGAGAAAAGCAGGAGTGCAGCTGTACTCCCCAGATATGTATTAGGTGTATGCAAGTAAATTTCCTCCATTTAACTGACAGTAGAGATCATACCAGTTAATGGGTGAGCCAAAGTGGCAGCTTAAAAAGAAAGAAACCCATGTGGTAGGAGTATCAGTTTTGCTGCAGCAGCAAATTATTTATGAAATCTTTCTGATGTTGAACAAGAACAACTGGCAAAGGAGGCAACTTTTGCAGAGCAAGAGGAGAAAAGGGGTAGAAAGTGATTTTAAAAAGGAGAAAAGCAGATTCTACTATGCATTATCAGGATGGTGCAGGAAATACTACTTGAGAGGAATGGAAGGACAGAAACATGCTTGGGACAGGCATTTGGTACAGTTGTAGAAGGAAGGCTTGTCCAAGAGCAGAAGGCAAAGCAGTATGGTCAAAGGGGGAGCTAAAGCATTTGGTGAGAACAATACACAATTTAAATATTTTGTCTAAGGCACCAATATGGGTAGCATAGTTCCCAAGGCCCTATCAATACTTATATTTACATTTCTGCCTTCAATAATCAGTGAAGCTGCAGAGTAGCATTATCCCTTATTTGGGATTAGAAATGAACACAAGGAAGTGGTTTGACAGCTAGAATTTGGATATGCTTCCCTAGGTCCTTGGCTATCATCTCAAATATGGGAGAAGGCTACCTCAGAGCCATCTGTGAATTGCCACTCAAAGCAGCTGAGGGCCTTGAGCAAATACTGTTATAAAACATTGTTGGTGGACAACCCACCAAGGAAAGAGGAGAAACAGTAAAGAACTGTACCATTTCCATGAATTTCAGAAGTGCCTCTTTGTTCTGCTCCCAGAGTGGATACAATTCTTCAGCCAGAGGAAACTTTTCACACCCGAGCTCCAAAGTAATTTCAAAACAGTTTGTATGAAGGTAATTAAAATCTGCCATTCCTGGAGAAGAATAGCATACTGTTTTATTATACAATATTCACAGACTCATAGAATAGTGAAGTTGGAAGGGGCCTATAAGGCCATCAAGTCCAACTCCCTGGTCAAGACAGGAATACAATCAAAGGATATCTGTCAGGTGATTATATAAGTTTCTCTTGAATGCCTCCAGTGTTGGAGCGCTCGCGACCTCTCAAGGTAATAGGTTCCACTGTTGTACTGCTCTAACAATTAGGAGGTTTTTCCTGCTATTCAACCAAAATCTGGTTTCCTATACCTTGAGCCCATTATTGCATGTCCTGTACTCTAGGATGGTCAAGAACAGATCCCACCCCTCAGGTTTTGGTCTTCCAGATCGGGTTTTGTATTATAGATCATGTGTTTTTGACTGGATAAAAGAATGGATAACCTTGGAAAATGATAAACTACTCAATTTGGAAGGACATGATTTGCAGTTCGGCTGGCATGCTTTTCTGTGGTACAAAAAGCAGAAACATTTCAATTCACATATGACAAGAAGAGCTCAATTAGGAATTTGGAAAAAGATTATTCAACAAATTTACCAAAAAAACACCAGTATGGGTATCACCTACAGAGGCCTTTACACAACCTAATTTTATGATGGAAGTGAAACTTCTAAGATATCAAGATTTATTTTTAAAAAGGATTGTGAGCTAAGATCTAAAGAAGAGTTAGAGACACAAAACATATATAGACTGGTGGGCCAGAGCACAGGTGGAATCCAGATACAGAAAGGCCCTCTCCTGTGTCCCCCCCCCACACATCAGCTGGCAATGGGACTGAGAAGAAGACCTCCTCTGGTGATCTTAATTGCCGAGAAAGTGCATATATAAGGCCCTTCAGGTAACCTAGACCCAAGCTATACAGGGCTTTATAGCTAATGACCAGCACTTTGAATTGGACTTGGAAACAGACTGGTAGCCATTGCAGTTCTTGTATATGCTTCCTGTAGTTGGTCCCAGTCAGTAGCCTGGTTGCAGAGTTTTGCACCAGCTGAAGTTTACAAACCTTCAAAGGCAGCCCCACATAGAGTGTGTTATAGTAATCTAAACAGGATGTAACTAAGGTAAGGCATGTTGTAGCCAAATCCAACATCTCAAGGAACGGTTACATAAACATAGTTACATAAACTTCACATGCCATTGTCGGTCCAGAGACTGTTTCTGTGTACAGATCCTTCTTGCTAGTGTAGCACGCATTAGCCAAAATCCTATTAGGTTTTTACACTGATATGAATGCAATCAGCATGAATCTTGGCAGCACGTTGCTACAAAGTCATCGAAATTGGCCCAAAACAGCAAATGCCTACATTGATTTCTTTGTTGTTGTTTAGTCGTGTCCGACTCTTCGTGACCCCATGTACCAGAGCACGCCAGGCTCTCCTGTCTTCCACTGCCTCCCGGAGTTTGGTCAAATTCATGTTGGTCACTTCGATGACACTCTCCAACCATCTGTCCTCTGTTGTCCCCTTCTCCTCCTGCCTTCACCCTTTCCCAACATCAGGGTCTTTTCCAGGGAGTCTTCTCTTCTCATTAGATGGCCAAAGTATTGCAGCCTCAGCTTCAGGATCTGTCCTTCCAGTAAGCACTCAGTGATGATTTCCTTTAGAATGGATAGGTTTGTTCTCCTTGCAGTCCAGGGGACTCTGAAGAGTCTCCTCCAACACCACAATTCAAAAGCATCAATTCTTTGGCGGTCAGCTTTCTTTATGGTCCAGCTCTCACTTCCATACATCACTACAGGTAAAACCATAGCTTTGACTATTTGGACTTTTGTTGGCAAGGTGATGTCTCTGCTTTTTAAGATGCTATCGAGGTTTGTCATCGCTTTCCTCCCAAGAAGCAGGCATCTTTTAATTTCGGGGCTGCTGTCACTATCTGCAGTGATCATGGAGCCCAAGAAAGTGAAATCTGTCACTGCCTCCATATCTTCCCCTTCTATTTGCCAGGAGGTGATGGGACCAGTGGCTATGATCTTAGTTTTTTTGATGTTGAGCTTCAAACCATTTTTTGCACTCTCCTCTTCCACCCTCATTACAAGGTTCCTTAATTCCTCCTCACTTTCTGCCATCAGAGTGGTATCATCTGCATATCGGAGGTTGTTGATATTTCTTCCGGCAATCTTTATTCCGGTTTGGGATTCCTCCAGTCCGGCCTTTCGCATGATGTATTCTGCATATAAGTTAAATAAGCAGGGGGACAATATACAGCCTTGTGGTACTCCTTCCCCAATTTTGAACCAATCAGTGTTTCCACATCCAGTTCTAACTGTTGCTTCCTGTCCCACATATAAGTTTCTCAGGAGGTAGATAAGGTGATCAGGCAGCACTGATTTCTTAACTTGTGGCAATTCACCATTGACATTATATAACTGTATTACACCGGTGAGTGTAACTAATAGGATTTTGGTAATTAGCTTAAATTACCAATTCCATGGGAGGCAGTGGAAGACAGGAGGGCCTGGCATGCTCTGGTCCATGGGGTCACGAAGAATCGGACACGACTCAACAACTAGACAACAACAACAACAACAAATTAGCTTCAAGGGCTTAAATAACTGAACTCTTCAAAACAATGATGGAATATTTGGAGTTCTGTGTTTTACTTAAAACCTGCACAACCCGTGACTCATAATATTGACTATAGTCAGATGCCATTTAAGTAGGGTCCATTGAGGGATCAGTAAAGTTCCTCTTTTTGCTCCCTGTCCAGTACTATCAACAGACAGTTGTTGGGTTATGTTTGTCTTAGTGGGTCATAAAGCATCCATGCCTACATTGGCACATTTAGCTGAAGGAGCTTCCTTTTTACTTGCTGGCTTCACCAATATAGTACCAGCCTTTTGCCCACCAGACTCTTTATAATGTTGGAAATAATGTAGTAAGACTTCTTTATGTCAAGACTTTTTTTGTCCTGTAGTGATCTAAAATTTCAGATGTAAAGCTACTTCTGGTATCATTAAATTATTACAGTTTTTTACCTCCAGCGAAGCTGTACCACTCTGCACCATTAATGATGCCACCTCGTTTGACAAAATTTCCACCACAGCGCATTTCTGATCTGTCTGAGATGCCAGGGTGTGCATCTGCGTAGGTTTTAGATAGCAGTTTGAACATCTAGAAAAGGAAAGAGAAAAGGAAAAGAAAAGAATGGTATTTAGTTCTGTAGGTTATACATTCTAAATGTTGTTGCTTTTTCCTTAGTAAAACTTTGGGTCAGGTCACATGTACTAGTTGCCCCACACAAATACATACAGTGGTGCCTCGCTAAGCGAAACGCGGCTTCCCATTGAAATGCATTGAAAACCGGATAATCCATTCCAATAGGAACGAACTGCTGTCCTTAAGCGAATAGGAAACATCGCTAAGCGAAACGCAGTTCCCCAATTGAAATGCATTGAAGCCTATTCAATGCATCTCAATGGGGTGAAAAATACAAAAACAAATTAAAAAAGAGTCAGAACAAAGTCAAATTTGGTTAACAAAGGGTTTATTAAGTGCACTTTATGATTTCAAACATTTTAAACAGTAAACTTTAACTTTTAAAAAACAGTAAACATGAGACTGTTTAAACCATCGTTAAGCGAAACAGGGGACCCAAAATTTAATCGCTATGTGAAGCATGGTCCCAACCATTGCTAAGCAAAAATCGCCCATAGGGACCATCGCTGAAAGAAGCGCAAAAACGCTCCGAAAAAGTCATTGCTAAACAATTTTGTCGCTAAACGGAGCGCCCGTTAAGCGAGGCACCACTGTATGTCCAAAGTACACAGGATCAGCAGCAGGCTGACAGTTAGGCCATGGCTCTGTTGAGAGTGACTAGATGCAACTCAGCCTATGTTCAAGAAGAATCATGTCTCTGAATGGGGAAAAGGGTTGAGAGAGGGGGGGAGGGGGAGGGAGAGGGAGAGGGGGAGAGAGAGAGAGAGAGAGAGAGAGAGAGAGAGAGAGAGAGAGAGAGTTTCTTAGATCAGCCATTCCCAAAAAATTTTTTTGCCTCTGTCCCTTTTAGAAGCTCTTCTTGGGTTCTAGGGCTCCCTGTCAAAGAAAGATACAACTTAAGTAAAAGAATAGAAAAATATGTGCCAACTCCCCCGGGGGCCATATGGCCCCCATTAAGAATGGCTGTCCTAGATTGTCTTTTACCTGCTCAGACCTGTACTGACCTTGGACTGTTGTTCTTAGGGTTGCTGATGTCACTTCTATCCCACATCTTTCTCTTGTCCCTCTAGGGAAAAATACTTTCCCTTTTCTTCCCTAGACATGAAAATACAGCCATGGCTCCTGACATCTCCAACTTAGCTAAAACTATCACCATTCCTTTAACAAGTGTATTTCTCTATACAACACACACTTTCTTATCTTTTAGAAGGCAGTATGGATGTCATTCTGTTATAAAGGGGAAATTATGCTCAGGTAATCATTCTGAGTGTCAAAGGGCTGAATCCAGAAGTTATTGTTGCTCTTGTACCTCTATGTGGATACTCTGCAACAGGTCTAGCAGATACATGATGACATGAGCCTGCTGATTTCTACAAAACAGAACTCACAGTACCATACCAAGCATCTTTCCCCTGTGCAAAAAAATAATAATATCCAAATTACACAATTAATGCACAGTAGCACCCAGAATTTCCAAACTGCCTGTGGCAGACCACAAATCCTGAGGTACTATGAGAAGCATTGGTATCTTTTTTTAGCCTAGTGAAATCAAGAATAAGAAGTTTGTGAGTCAACCTCTCTGTGAGTTCCATTAATTTAATGGGCCTACTCCAATTATAATTTATTACACCAAACAACAGGAGTTCAAATTTTGTGTTTCATCAGCTGATGAAAGGAAAGGAGCTATGGGCTACAGATGGGTAGTTCCATTAGGCTGAAAATCCATGGCATCTTCAGCTCATGGGGTATTATTTGAATCACCTCTGACCATTCTCCTCTCATCTTGTTGCACAATTTCTAATTTTATACTGGAGTAGGACCAAAGGTGTAAGACATTCTCTACAGCCACTGATGCATCAGGGTAGTAGAATCCAATGCTGCCTTTCTGTCTATGGGGAAAAGGTCCACTAGCAGAGTTTTGCATTGGGAAATCAGTTGATGAAACAATGATTGAAATCCTGTTGCTTAGTGTAACAAATCATAATTGGAATAGGCCCACTGAATCAATGGAACTTACAGAGAAGTTGACTCGCAAATCCCCACTGATTCAACTGGCCTACTATAGTTGTGACTTACTATGCTTGAGAGTCCCCTGGACTGCAAGGAGAACAAACCTATCAATTCTAAAGGAAATCAACCCTGAGTGCTCACTGGAAGGACAGATCCTGAAGCTGAGACTCCAGTACTTTGGCCATCTCATGAGAAGAGAAGACTCCTTAGAAAAGACCTTGATGTTAGGAAAGTGTGACGGCAAGAGGAGAAGGGGACGACAGAGGATGAGATGGTTGGACAGTGTCATTGAAGTGACCAACATGAATTTGACCAAACTCCGGGAGGCAGTGGAAGATAGGAGAGCCTGGCGTGCTCTGATCCATGGGGTCACAAAGAGTCGGACATGACTAAATGACGATGCTAAGCAAAAGGATTACCAATACATCCTTTTATATTTGTTTTAATTGCTTTTATATTGATTATTTTATGTGATGGTTTTAATATTTCAATGTTTAATATTTATTTAAACTGCTTTTCGTGTGTTGTGTTTTAATTTTTGTATCTTGTGAGCTTTCTTGAATCCCACTGCTGGGAGAAAGGCAGCATACAGGGGCAATACATGCATGCATGCATACATACATTTCAGGTAATGAGATGAACATTCCATTATCCATGCCCTTCCTGCTCAGTCAGGCCATGCTTAGATTAAGAACCACTGATCCTTGGGTCCCCAGATGTTCTTGGACAAAAACTCCCAGAAGCCTTCACCACTAACTATGCTGGTGAGGATTTCTGGGAGTTGTAATCCAGGAATATAGTTGTCATCCAAGGATGGGAACCACTGCTATAGATACTCTGCGGAGAGAGACAAAAGATGGGCTTCTGCCCAAGTAAGAATTTCTGTCTCCCTCATGAGAGCTCCTAATCTGTTACCTTCCTGCTTTACTATGTGGCCATGGATGACTATGTTTTCAATTCTGATCATCACATTCCTTCCTTGGGCTTGTGGTAAAAAAAAAAACCTCAAAGCTAATCAGACAACATGTAACTCTAATTAATTTATTCTATGAACAGCTTTTGATGCAGAGCGCTGACCCTGAGCATTGTGACTGCTACAATGGGTGCCTTAACACCTCAGGCTGGCAATTATTGCTGTTTGGGGTTCCTTTCGTTTGGTTACCTGAAGTAATACAGGGGGAAACGATCACCTGAGAGTTTTCACTTCCTGTGGGAGACAAAGCTTGAGGCACTCATGATGAGCCCTATCATCTTGACAATAGAACAAAAAACACTGTAAAGTCCATAAATGTAATCTGCTGCAAGGGATGCAGTTTACAGCACCAACCATAATTCCCAGTAGGGCTGCCAGATGCATCAGATCCACAATGGTTTTCAAAAGTGTCCATCATAACATTCGTTGAAATTTCACTCCCATGTCCTCAGGAGGAAAAGCAAGACATTGAAATGAAATGAGGCTCTTTTCCCTGTCCACTAGAAGTCCATGGAATGTTAGATATTCCATTGTCACCTGGACATCCACTGCCCCCTGCTGGTTTGATTGATCTGAAGGTCATCCAAGTAAGGAAAAATATGTATGTTTCTGCTTCTGAGGTGTGTTACTAAGACCTTCATGAATACCTATTGGGAGGCAGCCAGTACAAATGGCCTATCCCATATTGGAAGTGGCATTCCTGATATGTAAATTGTTGAAATCTCCTGTGCTAGAGATATTTTGGTCTTCTTTATCAGAGTGTTGCAAAATATAAAATTGTGGACATTTATGAAATATAGGTACAATTCAAACAAATTAAAATGTTAAGATAATTAGAATCAATTTGATCAGACGTGGGCTACAATAGGATTATCTTGGCCATTTGTTAGATCTTCTTTCGTACATTTGCTGGGGCATAAATTACATGCACATAAGTGATGCATTGATTGAATTTCTCCACAGCCACAGAAAATTTGTGTTATATCCAAGAAGTTCCATTTTATTTGATTATTCTTTGATCTTCCTACTTCATTTCAAAGTCTATTAAATTACTTCCAGATGGTCCAGCTAGTCTTGTCCTGGTGGGAAACACTCTTTAGCCTTTATCCATTCAGCAAGGTGTGCTGTTTTTGTTCTCCATAGGTTTAGTCTAGCCTCTTCTAGTTTAATTTATAGAGCTTGAGATGTGTGCAGAAAATTTTTCCTAGATGTTAGGCGTTATCTAGGCAATTAGTCTCCATGAAATGGGATAGTTTGGTGCTGTACTCCCTTATTTTGTTCATTATTTGCCAGCACCTCTCAACGTACATCAGGATGAGCAAAGCCAGCCAAATAATAGACTTTTTCAATGGGGGTAGATTTCAGGTAGCCACTAATGATCCTGCATAGTGGTTTCACTGTAACAGTTTAGTGTTGCACTGTAACAGTTTAGTCAGATTCTACGACATGATCCAATGGATCATTTTTAGGTTTTTATACAGAATGTCCTCCTGCAGACAGACCAAATGACTTATTCTAAGCCCAAGATGTCTGTCCACTAGCCACTTCACTTTAGCACTAGAAATTATATCATATAGGAAACAGTGCTGTTGGGAAAGTGGCACAAGGGCTGTTCCCCCTAAAGTTCTGCGTCTGTTGCTATAAAGGCTGGGGGTGAGGCCCATTCTACACTAACAATGAATTGACATTCCCGTTTTTCAACCATTGGCAGGGCAGTGCCCAGTGGCCACGTCTGAGGCCCTGGCCCTCACTGAAAACTGCACTGGATAGAAACAAGTACCGTATTTTTCGCACCATAAGACACACTTTTTTCCCACAAAACAGGGGGGTGGAAAGTCTGTGCGTCTTATGGAGCGAAGAAAACAGATTATATTTTCCTGTTTTCTTCTCCTAAAAAATTGGTGCATCTTATGGATGGGTTACTCAGGTGTTTTTGGACTGCAACTCCCAGAAGACAAGTCAGCAGGCTTTG